ATTACTTTATAGTGTCTAATGAAACAAAGCGTTTGTGATAAATATTTGAATGCTTTAAAAAACACAGTTGAGTAAGCTCCATTGTGCATGATGTATTCTAACACTATACAAATACATTTTTTTGGCATCAGTTATACTGCAATAACTTCAAGTTGTTTCTTGAGTTGTAAAAACTAGTTTGATGAGAAGCTGTAGTTGAATAATCTTTATGTGATCATGTAAATCAGGATACATAGTAAAATTTGTTTTATTTAGAGTCGGTTATACTTAAGTTATGGGTGACCAAAAGCATTGGCGAAGATTTCCAACCAGTGAAGCCGTACTGCAAATAAATATATTATTTGACACATCATATAGCTGAAAATGAGCGGTAGGAAAGAAATTATTCAGAACAGGTTTGGATTTCTGAGGGAATATCAATTACCTAGCAATTACACATACACCTTACTGATTATTTTTACTTAGATTTATTTTAGGATAATGCTAATATTATGATAACAAAAGACCTGTCGGGTTGTGACTTTACAAATAATTGATTCCTGTTTATTTTGCAAGGCCTCTCTCTAGTACATTGTTGTTAGGTCTGAAACTGAGAAGAAATAACTAGTAAGCGTTTTTTCGTAAATTTTTTAAACGATTTCCAGGGTATATCAGTTCGTGATGAAAACTACGCTCAAGTCATAGTTAAATCTGAGAATCAGAATATTTTAAAATTGACAATATGATTTTGTTATCGTGATACATGGTGAGAATACAAATTCAAGAACTCAAATTACTTTAAGAATACGGTGATCAATAAATTCAGATAAATAGAAATTCTCAGTATAGGGTTGTAAAGATTGTTGAGTTTTGACTGAGATCATGAATCGATTAATATTAGGTTAATATTAATTATATAGGAAGAAAGGTTATCAAAATGATTATAATCAGAGAGCGGATTCGCGGATATTATAGTAATTTAATAGTTGAATTTATGAGTTAATTGAAGCTAGACCATCATGGAAAACCTGGAAGCACCGGATGGTCGTCTCGTCCTAGTATGGAATCCCTCAACAGTGCGCATCGAAGATCCCGCCTGTGGAACCGAACCCAGCACTTTTGATTTCACGCGCAAACGCTTAACTTCTAGACTATTTAATCAGCACTCAACAATGTTAATATCTGACGTCAACCAATCCACGATATTATGTGACTATCTTCCGTTGTTTTTGGTGTATAACTGTCTCCATCCAACACTGATTGATCTTCACTAATCACGGCTTCTCACTAGAATTATTTCCAGATTCTAGTCAGTACTGAGCCTATGATAATTATCAGTATAGGTTTTCAATTGTGATCTAATATTGATCTCAAAATAGAAATTCTTAAAATTTCATATAACACTACAATGAATTATGGCAATCAAAATTTTCACAAAAACCATGCAGACTTCTACTAAATAATTTTACTTAAAACATTGAAAAATAAATTTTATTTCATTCATTAATTAAGTAGGTCTCTAAAATTTCTTTTAAATATCTTAGATAAAACTGATTAATGTCAAAATAATATAATGAACTCTTTACCTTTATAGAAACATAAAATAGAACGGAAACAGAGCAGTTATTTGAAAAGTTGAAATACTATCAATAATGTATGCATATGTATAATTAAATACGATTATTATTATTATTATTACTAGAGATTAAGGTTAGTATTTGAAGAACAAAAAGAAAATCTTCAAAGGTCATTTGTACTAAGTCTTCTGAATGGTAATAATAATGTAAGATTATGAATTATTATTTTTACCAAAATAGAATTTGAGTAGTTAGGTTAATTGAGGACATTCGAGTTGAATGAAGTAAGCAGAAAAAAAAATTAATAAACAATAGTGATCAATTAAAATCAATTCAATTGATCATTGAATTTTATTTCGTGTGTATTGTTTCTATTTGAAATGAAGTTTCAAACAACTTTTACATACTTGGTATTCACAAGGAAAAAATAGAATAAAATGATGGATGACTTCGAACGAGTTTATTACATTCATTTAGATTTATAAATAAGATAAATCAAGCTTTAAGCCTGAAGGCTTTGTGTAATTTTAAACTCGAATATTCGGTTATAGATCTAGTATATGTGTTACATATATGTAGCTTATGTGTATCTGAGTATAATAATTTTGATGTATGCGTGTGCGATTTCATTGACAATCATTGTTTTAATGTTTAGCTGTTTAAATATGATACTAGAACCTGAATTGATTACATTATGTAATAAGCAACCAGTCATTAGATAAATCTAGTTTGCCAGAACTGATAGAAGATTAACTGGATCGTAGAATGTGAGAACTTTAATTTTTTTGACAAAAGAAAAAAAAGGTTTAAAGTTGGTTTTTGTCTGAAATTGTAATGTGAATAAATCAGCAGTAATTTTTGTAGTTCGATTTACGGACTAGGCTTAGGCAATCGTTAGAAACCAAGAAGTATTGAACAGGTATGAAATCTAAGGTCAGTTAGTGATGTAAACTATAAAACTTAGCAATTATCACAAATTCTCCAAACTAACAAAAGTCTACAGCGAACAAATTTAACTGTTTATTTACTCTTACTCCGATCAATGATTTTATGATCGGATTATGTTACTTCCAACAACATAAATGATATGATCAAATTAATACGAGTATTTAGTTAATTCAATAGAATTACGTATTTCTGATAAAATTTAAAGGTTTATTTTTAATGGTAGAGTTTTACTTTAAATCAAATACCACAGTTAAATGGTGAATCAGTACTTTAGCAAATTTTTACTCTATTCAATGAGTCACAGTGTTTTCAATAATTCAGTACATATTATTAGAGAAAACGTTGAAGAAAGTGGATTAGTTTTTTAAAAATTGAAAGATTAGTTCTCGCTAATCGAAAATAGTATTTGATTGTAAAAATGACCGATTTTTTAATTCCTATAATTTAAACTAAATAAGTAAGAATAAAAATGGGACCTAAGTCACCATGGACTTAAAACAAGACCTTAGAATAAATGATGAACACGTTCAGGTCGAATATATAATTAAATTTTGCAGATCAATTAAAATGTTCAAAACAAATAATAATAAATATTTTAATAGTTGAGATCATTAGTCAATTGAAGTTAGACCACCGTTGGAAACCTGAAAACACTGGACTGTCGTTTCGTCCTATTGTGAGAATCCTCAGCACTGTGCACCCATGATCCCGCCTCTCGAGATTCGAACACAGAACCCATCAGTCTCGCGCGTGAATGCTTAATCTCTAGACCACTTAGCCGACCAGCATCCAATGGTGTTAGTGTCTAATTTCAACCAATCCACAAAATTGAGCCACACATCCAACATTATCCTCAGTGATTTACTATCTCATTATAGACTCAGTTGAACTCCATTGGTCACGAGAGATCGATAGATTTCGGGTTTAAATCTCGCGATGCGGGATTTTGAATGCGCATTGCTGAGTCCCGCAATAGGAAGAAACGCCCATGCAGTGATTCCAGGTTTTTCATGGTGGCTTAGCCTCAGTTGACTCACGATCTCAACTATTAAAATTACTATAACAACCACAAAAACCCCTTCTGATGATAATAAATATTTTTATTGTTATACCCCTATGAGTTGAATAATTGTATTTCTGACGTTTCGTGACTTGATGTAGGCCACTTCTTCAAAGTAAATAAAGAAGTGAATTACATTAAGTCACGAAACGTCAGAATTACAATTTTTCTACTCAATAAGATATAACAATAAATATATTTATTATTCACTCTCTGCCCAATGCTTAACTTATTTGAAACTATCAAATCTGACCTTGGCATTGATACCTATAAACTTAAACCAAATGTTAATAGAAATAAACATAGATTTTAAATTTGTTTATAATCACGAATGTTCTTTTAAAAAGCAACAAAAAGATTTTTACACTAAATGGTAAAGGCTATTTTACCTTCTTACATTCCTTCTCAAGTAAAAATGAATCCAGTTATAAACAAATGAGGATGTATTACAATTTTTTTTTAATTGTCATAATTTACATTATTAAGACTAAAGGAAATCATAACTGCAAATACAGGAAATTATGAAGGTAATACAAATTAGTGAAATTAATGTTCAAGTGTTTTCATTAAGTAATTAAGGACTATATTTATGGTAAATTTTAACATAACATTTCTAGTGTTTATTTAATGAATTGCACTGAAGAGATTATGACAACTATTTTCAAAAGTATACTGTACTTTTTAATTTAATTACTTTACATTTCAGGTGAATTACATACCTGAAATCAGATAGAAGCATTAAGGAGAAACAATAAAAATTTCTGTTCTATTCTTTGGACAACGAAATGTGACTATTTCATAATATTAATAAATATAAAAAGAAGTTAATGGTTTCTAGGTAGTGCGAAAAATAGTAATAAACCAACTATCGTTCTACTCGTTTCAGGATATGTTTAATGTAATACTTGTAAATTTGTTAGCTACGCTTATATGTATTTCGGCACTGATTATATCAAGTTTGGAACTTAGCTGTTACCACTTAAAACCTCAGAGAATAATCCGTTGAACAACTAAATACCAATATATCATGCATAACGACTATTTGTGTAATTCATTTTTAAATTGATTAATAGTGTTTATGCTAGTAGAAGATGTCGTGATTGAGTAATCAAATAAGCAAACGTTAGGATATTTAATTCATTCACTGTGAGAATTAAGCCCATTGTATTGTAGATTAATTAAAATTAGATATATCAGGTGTGTATGGTACGTTCAGAAAACAAATAGTTCATATATTAAAGATGTTCAGTCTTATGAAATATTCTTAAATTACACTCCACTTGTTTTTAAGTTTATTCAATGATATTTAAATGAATAATAATAGATTACATGTATAGAAACTCAGAATTAAAGTGAATTCGAAATGAATTTTTCGTGTCAAGTGGTTGATTGATTAATATTATTTCACCTGTTTTTTATTTATTTTTATTTTCAAGACTGAACTATCTCAGTCACTTCAAGCACTATCAGAAAGAGCTCGTTCAGCTACGGAACACATACAGCGTTTAAGATCGAAGTCAGAAACCGTTAATGTAAGTTCCTTTTCAGGTTGAATATAGTTAATATTTCATAATCAAAAAAATTTATAATCAGCAATTACATATTATATCGTGGATGTGAGTGTGTCTCTAATGATGTACACACTGATCTGAAGGTATGGTCTATATAAACATTATTATCAAATTGTTAGACAGTAAAAATGTTAGTTATTTTTTGACATCTCAAAAATCTTAACATATTTTAATTGATAAGATAATTTAGCTTTAGTTGATGGAAAAAATTAAAAGATAGACGGATAAATCACTGAAAAACCCGTAGCAAATAAAGCCCACTACTTAAAAAAATTATGTTTATGGTTTTCTAAATAAGTTTGGAAATCCAGTGTAGCAGCAGTAGGTCTTTATTTGTTTATTTAAACACATAAACATTGGTACAAGGAAGCATCAAATAGATGCGCGCCACATAAATCTTTCTATTTGGGGGATACTGGAGCTGAGATATTGCCTGGGTGGCAAAACCTAAGTAGGTGATTTTCTTAGGTGGCCACTTTCCGAGCCTTTGATCTGAAGGTCCAATCCTTAAGGCAGTGGAGCAACGTCAGGAGATGCGGTTCCATGGTAGCCGGTGACCAACGATTGGTTCATACGCCATTTGTTCCCACAGGATACTGGAGCCCATGTGCGCTATTGGTTTGGAATCAATGTTTTTCAACTCCCCTAGGTGGACTCCTCGTGTCCAACAACCGGGTTAAAGCGCCGGACATTCACTTTTCCTCATCACAATTTCGTAACCAACACCCCCAACACAAGAAGGCAATGAGTAGAACTTTCCAGGCATTGTTTGCATGCACGTGACCGTGTGAGAGCATTTCGAGAGGGAGAGCGGACTGTCCCCACGCTCGGCCGTGTCAGGGTATTTGGGGGCTGAAGGCAGGTCTAGACATTCATCAAAGAAAAAACAAGATCCTAAAATATAACACAACGAGTACCAACCAAATCACATTTGATGGGAAATCTCTGGAAGAGGTGGAGACTTTCATGTACCTAGGCAACACTATTGATAAACAAGGAGAATATGATACAGATGTGGAGGCATGGATTGGCAAAGTAACAGCAGCATTCCTACAAGTGAAGATCTGGAACACTAAACAACTATTAGTTGATCAAAAGTCAGAATTTCCAACTTAAACGTCAAGACAATTCTACTGTACGCAACTGTGACTTTGAGATCTATTACAACTATCATCAAAAAAGTACGGGTATTTAGAAACACTTGTCTACACAAGATCTATTGGCCGGACATCACCAGCAACAATCTACTCTAGTAGAGTACAAGCCAGTTTTCAACTGAAGAGTAAATTAAGAAGAGATACTGGAGATGGATATAACATACATCGAGAAAATTATCAAACTTCATCATGAGGCAAGCCCTAAATTGAAATCCTCAGGGGGACATGGAAAGTCGCTGGCTTGAGATCGAAGGTAGATATAAAAAAAGAACAATATTTTGCAACAGCTTGAAGGGAAAACCCAGAATAGAGTTGGTTGGAGAGTCCTCGTCTGTGGTTATGCTTATCCACAAGGGTTAACATAAGTTAGTGAACAAGCTGTGATCGCATGAAAAATAGTTGAGATTTGAATGTAGTTTCCATTGCAACCCAAAACAACTTCATGAACACTAGAATATTTAGTAGATTTAGTGATGTCGCCTAAAATATTACTCCGTGGTGTAACTAAAATTGATAGATAGTAAACAATGAAGATAATTATTAGAAAAGCGGATGATTCATCATGAGTCTTTCATGGCTTCTCTGGGCAAAAATATCAGCACAAACGTTTAGGTAAATAAACCATTTATCATCTACATCATGGACTGATTTTATTTAGACAACTACTGTATGTCAAGAAAAGTTGGACGGCTGTTTTGTTCTTGTATAGGACTACTCATTAGTAAGCACTCACAACTAAAAGGTGAATCGTTAATCGTTAAACTTAGGTCAGTCCGTAAACCCTAAATATTTAACGATCTCTGTGATCCCCTTACAATAAAAATTTATCGTATAATTTTATGATTACGTTTAGACTATTTCTATATCCTGATTCAATTAACCTAACTCTCGAAGTTTCCATAAAATAAACGATTTGTTTGATTATACATAAAAAGTAGGGTAAATATTTTACTGATAAAGCATGAAACTAAACAAGTCATATCTATCAGTATTTATCAACACATTTTATACAAAATGAGAACTGATTAATTGATGAGATAATGGTCACTTGATGGTCAATTATTTATTTAACTTGTCTAATTTTAATAAATATGTATGGTGATATTATGTGAGTAAAACAGAGCAAAATATCATAAGTGTATAATGCTTTTAACTAAACAGCACATATTGACTTAAAAGTTACTCAAATAAAATGATCGTGATGTAAATATATTTTTTGGGGGGGTGAGGGAAAGATGGTCAAAATATTATATAGTAATATCTACAATTTGACATGTGAATTAAGCTGGTAAAACACGATTATGAAGTTTCATCATGAGCTTTTTTGATACTCATCATCAGGAAAAACTAGGCAAGATAGTAAGGTAAAACTAGCAGACCAATTTTTTAAAATACTTAGATAAAATATGTATTACTGGTGATCAGTGCCAGTGGTCCGTAGATGTGTATCACCTTGTTTGTTGCATAGATTGTTTAGATAATTTAACTCCACTTTATTAATCACATTGTTCTTAATGAACCCAGAATAAAAAATTTTCAGAATGTACTTGAAAGTGCCAAAGAGTTCCGACTAAATCATGGCTTTACACCATAAAACTAATGGGCTGTAAATTTTGACGACTCAGTTCGTTATACATTTCTGTTTCGTATAACTTTCCCTACACCTAGTTTTATCCCTGCGCTATGACTAGTAATTATTTGTTATTGTTGATATTTATTCACTCTTACTACTTGCCAAAGGTTATCAATCAAAAGCTATAAAATAACTTTTCTGAGAATGTAGATTGACTGATTAAAAACCTTAAGATAGCTACTGATAAACTATGCAATACTAGTTCTCATTTGTTTCCAAAGAGCTTGAAAAAGAAAGCATTTCTTATTATCAGATGGGGTTTTGTAGAGATTTTAGAAATCTCATTAGTTGAGATCATGAATCAATAGAAGCTAGATCACCATGGAAAACCCGGAAGAACTGGACGGCCGTTAAGTCTGTTTCAATACATGAGAATATTTTAATAATTACACAAAAACACAGTTCAGATATCATTTAACATTCATCAACTCAAAGATATATGTCAAAAGATAAATATGGACATAAAAATTGAAATCATGATTACCCATTAAATAACTTCAATCATCTAGCCCTATGTTTTTCTATATTTTATCTGATTGTTGAAATTTATTTTACAAAAATAATTTTGCTTTCTGATTTTGAACTTCATAAAATGTAAATTAAACACAACAAGAAAATGATTGATTCATTGGGTTTCAAAATTAATGAATAATTTTCAAATAGTGAAAATTCTAAAAAAAATTTTTTTCCTTTTACGGAAAACATTTAACGTGATTGTAGATAAGATAGGAAAATTTTGTAAGCAATGATGGATAGTGGCTAGCAGTAGAATCCAGGACGCGCGTTTCATCCAGCTGACGAGTCCCAAATAGGACGAAACGCACGCCCTGAATTCCACTGCTAGCCACTATCCATCATTCCTTACAAAAAGCTTGTGAATTAAGGGAATATTGAGGCATACGCACAGTATGCACATATGCCAATAAAAAGACTGATCAATTGCAGTCTTAAACCTCAATGGGAAGATACAAGCCAAACACTACCAAGTGAAGATATGAAAATGTTTGATAAAACACTAACAATGAAATCATTTTTTTAAAATATGTTTGAAAAACCACCATATGTATGTTGCTAACATTTACGATGAAATATGTCAATACATTCCTTAGAATAAAGAGTGTCACGAGTTAACGATACTTAAAGTTTGAATGTCTGTTGTATTGCGTTATTAATATTTGTTTCAGCCACTGATTAGCAAAGGGTTTGACAAACTAGTATATTCATACGTTTGTAAGCTTTTTTCACTAGTTATTAGAGGAATTTAATTTGAATCCCACGGGGAGGGATCGTGGATGTGCACTACTGAGGAGTCTCACAATAGGACGAAATAGCCGTCCAGTGCTTACAAGTTTTCCATGGTGCTCTAGCTTCAATTGACTCATGATCTCAACTATTGAATTTAATTTAGTGTAATTCTTTTTTGTTATCTTAATGACTTTATTCAGAAGTTATTTCTAAGTTAATTAATATCATTTATGAAGATTTGAACATAAAATGCACTAAGTAGAGAGTAAACAAAATTTTTATGTATACATTATTTATTATTTGCTATTGAGGAATCGATTCTTTTATATTCTGATATCAGCTCAATAGGTGTTTCATTCTAGTTCGCGACTTCTTAGCTTTTTATACTTGTCATTACTCAAGAACCTGTTACTTACACAAAGAGGGAATTCCTTATAGATGATTAATTTGAAACTCGATATTTCACATTTCCAGTCTGTCAGCACACAATATAGCGTAATAGTTATTTGGTAAGCTTATTGAATGACAGTCTTACTTTACTGTCATAACTTCTCACTAGAACTTTAGCACTTCATCTCAAAGTTAGCTGTTAGTATCCAGATGATTAATAGTACAATGAACACATTTGTAAAGTTTAATCTTCTGTACTAACTCAAACCCTTCGGAAAATCAATAAAATAACTGAAGATTTGGTTAATAGTTGGGTTTCGTAATCAGTTAAGCTAAAGAGTGATAAAGTGATGAGCACTAAAATGAGTTTCCTAAATTATTGCTTTTTTCTAAAATATTTCCTCATTCTCGAATGTAACCACATATGAAAGTTCATGAAACCCTGTAGTCTAGTGCAGATTTATTCAGTTATATAAAAGCGATACACTGTTATGTAATATTTTAGTGATACCATTCATTTAAGCAGTTAGAAATAAGTGGGTCTTGCATTAAGCTTATGGCTCACCAGTTGAGTATCAATTATACTAATCAATAATCCGTAGATCAACACAAAAAAACTATTCATTGACCCAGTTGACAATCAGTGAAATTTTTAATGAGACTTATTTATTTAACTTTCAATAACTGTGTTTTACACTGTGCACAAATTATTTTTTTGCAGAGAAACCTTGCAGATTCAGAAAAAGAACTTGTTGAACAACTAAACACATTGATTTCTGCTATTGAAACAAAAAAACAAGAACTAACAGAACGTTTACGAGACGAAAGAACCAAACGTATTCATTGTCTCAAGGAACAAATTAATCGTGTCACATCATTATTAACCAAATCAACTGGTCTTATTCAATTTTGTATAGAAATGCTTAAAGAAAGTGATCCGTCCGCATTTCTTTTGGTAAACTAATTCTTCATAACATATTCATGTTTCTAATTACCATATTATCTCATATTTGGTTGAAGTCATCAGAAAACATTACTAAGCAAAGGTTGATGGTGGCTAGCAATGAAATCCAGGGCGCGCGTCTCTTCCTATTTGGGACTCATCACCTAGATGTACCTGCATCTCCGAGTTGATGTTCACTCTGGAACTCGAACCCAGTACCGTTTGCTTCGCATGCTACGGCTTTATCCACTTGGCTACTGAGTCTTGATAGCCACTGGCTTGTGCAATGAGGTGTAGTTAAAATTCATTTTGTATTGTTTGTCCCAAACACCAATAAGAAGATTCAAACAGACAATCGCAAATGAATTAAAAAACGTTACTGTTTTAATTATGAATAGTATTGAACTAATCACTATAGGATAGCTAAGTTAATAAGTTATAGTTCATTGTTGTTGTGAACCTTTGGAATTATATTTACTCAGAAGAAAACAAATACCAGTTAATGGAAAAAGTAATGACTAACAAACCAAAAATATTTTGTTATGCTACACTACTCATGAAGTAAAAGAGATTATTTTCTGAATACTAAATATGTAAGCTATTTATCAGTATAGGGTTGTGGAGATTGTTCAGTTTTGATTAAAATCATGAATCGATCAAGGTTAGACCACCTTTGAAAACCTGGAAGAACTGCACAGTCGTTTCATCCTAGTATGGGACCCCTCAACAGAGCGCATCCACGATCGCGCATACGAAACTCGAACCCGAGACCTTCGGTAACGAGCGTGAACGCTTAACCTCTAGACAACTGAGCCGGCATCCAACAACGTTAAAACACTTTTCAGTTTGTTTCTTTAAATGAATTAATTGATCGTTATGAATAAAACATGAGTTGTGATTTAATATGAGAATTATTGGTTTGAAATTATATGAATTATAAAGGCCAAAATTCAAATTCCCTTGAAATTATCTCTAAAGAAGCGTTAAACTACAATGTGCCAGAATATCAGATACAAATTTGAATTCAGTAAACACAAAATATGTTTTTGAACTTCAAATTAATAAACAGGCAGAATAATTTTAATCTGCTTAATGCCAATAGTTCTGAGGATATATATATATATATATATATATATATATATATATATATATATATATATATATGAGTATATTTCAGAAAGTGTGGCGACTTAATTTATAGTTCGTGAAGTATAGAAAATGAAGTCGGAAGTATGAAATTGTTCAAATCTGTATTTAAAAGAATACTTTTGCCTAAGCTCCATATCATATTTCTTCTTCACCTCGATGCATGAGTAGACAAAAGAGTACGAGTTATTGGATTGTAAATCAAACTTATTCATCTCGAATGTTGTTGAAATAAAATCGCTCCTACCTCATTGAAAGTAATAGAAAAAACCTAATAAAACATTACAACATTTGACCATTAATTGTGATATATCCAGTATTTTCCTAATAAAATTATATTCAGAAATAATAATCCATTGAGAAATATAGTTATATAAAAAAATATTTTGTAAATAGTCTCTCACTATCGGTTTTATTGATTTCATAATGTTCTCTATGATGTGAAATATTTGTACATACTGAAAAATGTTTGAGAAGTTCAGTTGATTTTTCAATGTTAAACAATTTTTATTGTATGTACTTATATGTTTGAATATTATTAGCAAAATAAGTATATGTATCTAAGGCATTTAAATAGTTGAATATATCATTAATTTCCTGATAAATGATACTGATGTTTACAGTTTGCAATAATTAATCATATATATATATATATATATATATATATATATATATATATATATATATATTAGTATTCTTTATTGATAGAATACATTATTGCTGTTACTAGGTGGTAATAACACTGTTTATTACAGATCACATGGATATGAAATATATCTGTTACATGTTGAATACAAATTAGATAATACTTTTTTTGACATTTTCATTATGACATTTTAATATAATTTTAATTTATATTAAACAATAATTATCAATGTTTATTCCAATAAATATCCATTGTCTTAGACTAGCCATATTGATTAAATATCATATGGAGAATGTGTAAAAGTAAATCAATTACTTATTCATCTATTAAAATATTTAAGTATATAGTTATTTTAATTCAAATAATTTTACATTTTAGGTATCTCAATCACTTATCACACGTACTCAAAATGCAGAACAAAATTTTATACAAGAACTTCAACATACTTCATCCACTAATGATATTACTGGATCTTTATTATCACTTGCTTTATCATCAAGTAAAGATTATTCACATCATTCACCTAAGAAAAGAACACTTAAATCACCTGAAGAGATTTCTGGTAAATACAACAATCCTGCTAGTAATGTTAGTGGGACAAGTACATCTAATCGATTAAACAAAACATTGGATTTATTAGGTGTGAATAGTGTTGATGCAATACATCGAGCAATTGTAAATTTAGGTTTAGAAGAAGATCAAAGTAAGTAATAAAGCTTCATTGTAAAGAGATATGCCTTACAATATATTAAATTGTATATTTTAAAACCTAGAAAATAGTTTTATCTAATTAATAATTAAAGGATATTTTAAATCACTGATATTGATTAAAAACACACTTCACATTCTATGATCTCTAAGATATTACTACCATAATTTAATCGTCAACAAGTAAGAAAGTTTCAATTTTTATCGATTAACTGAACATATCAGAATGAAGAGATTAGATTTAAATAAAATATCTTCTATTTTGTAATATTTATCGATTTCTGATGCTATGTGCTCAGTAACCTAAATGGTTACCTATTCCAAACTGTAACTGAGATTTACTCAATGTTCTGAAAAAAAACGATTAATTCAGTGAATTAAAGAAAAGTTTTTTTTTCTCGAGACGAATACAAAGTTAAAGTTGTCTCCTGCAATAAGAAAATTGATTTATCACAATCTTAAATAAAATAAACGGTTCGTAATCAATATATATCGCCTTACAATATTTTCAAAGAAAAAAAGAACTGGACAGAGTAGTAGTGTATAACAACAACAAAAACAAAATGCAATCTAACTAAAAGGTAATTCAGCCAAATAAATAATTCAACTCTTATTTATTGTCAAAAAAGAAGGTAAAGCTTAAAAAATGTTACATAATCTATTCTATATATTAACTCATTAATAATTGATTACTTTAGGATAAGCTAGTTTACTTTAACTACTGATGTCACTAAGGTAGGTAATAATAACAAAACAGTCATAGTTCCCATCATAGTACAGTTTGAACTCAATATCCTAGTGGTTAAGCGCTCGCGCGCGAAACTGATAGGTCCTGGGTTCGAATCTCACGAGAGGCAGGATCGTAGATGCGCACTGCTGAGAAGTCCCATGCTAGAACGAAATGGCCGTCCAGGTTATCCATGGTGATCTTGCTCCAAATGACTCATAATTTGAATTATTGAAATTACTAAAATCTCCACAAAACCCCTTCTAATATAATCTGTCCTGAAAGTGTAAATAAACTAGCAATTATTTTGTGAATATATCACGTTTTAAATTTAATAAGAATGAATGAAATGTATTTGCATACAGTGAAGTAACTAATTAACATGTTTATGTTATATTTAGTTCATTTTCTTCGTATAGAACTATTTACTTCTTATTGGCAATGAGCTTGTAATCACTTTTTTACTATTAATTTCAAAATAAAGAATGATTCTTATGTATCGTCTAAAGTTTGGTTATACCACTTGAAAAATGATTTAATCTGATAAAATCAACTTTATCATTGTAGTGAAATGTAAAAGTGATCGTAGAGTTACATACAGAACAGAAGCAAGAAAATTTCATCATTTATTGTTATAAGAAAATCATAGTGATACTAATTGCTAGTTTGGAAACTGATTGATTGATGATAAACTAGTGAGAAATAGCCTTATCATAAAACAAAGAAACATCTAAAAGACCTGTGTTATTAAAAATACTGTTATATTTGATAGTTTTGTCTGTTGATTTAATGAATGATTCTTGTGAAAGTGTTCAAAGTTAATTATATTCATATTTCTACAATCATATCACCTAATGTTGACATACATAAAGTATAAGTTAGATGTCTAGCTTTGTATTGTATCTGGCAAGAATAAATGAGCTCACTGAAAGTTGTATGACTGAATTATAACTCAATTATGAACGTATACTTTATAACATGTCCGTCAGAAGTAAAAGATTTTTCTCATCTATATGAAATCTCTATAAGTTTCTATCTACATATCCAACTATATATATAAACTATGAGTTAGCTAAGTGCAATTACACATACTCACTAATATACATGATTATTGATTAAACTGGCTTTCAGTCTAACTTGTATCCTTATTATTCACAGCATAGAGGATAAATCAACTATTCCAAACCTGTCCAATGAAAATGTTAATATATGTATAATATTAGATTTGTATGATATATCTTTCTATAATATGAAACATAGAACATAAGAGCTGAAATAAAGCAGAATTACCAACCGAATGTTAACTAGTCTGTTATTACATATTTCTTAGCTTGTTTTTTAATCAAGGTTATTGCTTCTGTTATTGTTGTTGATCGCCTTCTTGTTTCTCATTTACAAATCCCTTTTTCTCCTTTACAGTTAGTTTATTTACTCATTTGTCACGTAGAATAAACTAGTAGGAGGTGGTTGACTATATTTCTGATTTTCATTTTGTTCATTTTAATAAACTAAAATAATTATAATTTCTTTATTATTTATAACTTGTTTGTCATATATATGTCACACTATTACTTAAAAATGCATTTGGTTTTTTGGTTTTAGTTTGTACGTTATTGCTGAGGACAGACTAATGGCATTGTTTTTCTGAAATATAAATAAATAGACAAGATAATAAAAATAAATTTCTCAGTAAGTAAACCCAAATAACCCCACGAGTGGGATCGTGGATGCGCACTGCTGAGGAGTCCAACAATCGGACGAAACGGCCATTCAATGTTTCCAGGTTTTCAATGGTGATCTAACACTGATCAGTTCATGATCTCAATCAAGAACTTAAGTTTTAATTCCCACAAAAAGTTCAGTATAATTTGATCACTGATTATATGTATACATAAATTAAGATTTTTGTAAGTAATCAGCGGAGATTAAACAAAGTTGTTCACATTGACTGATTATTGAATAATATCCAATGTAAGTTAACAGCCAGAATAAGTATTTCAGTCTTGAAGAATGTCAGTCATTGCCTAAATAGCTTAATGACAACATTTATTTGTGAAATTGGGTAATACGTGCTCGAATGTTATATGAACTACTGATTTCTCTCAAGATTTCAGATGGATTCAGTAAACGATTGCAGTTATAACTTCTTGTCAAATGAATTTACAAACGTAATATTAAATGATTTACATTTTTAAGTAGAATTTATTTTTTATCAGTATATCTTATACCATTGTTGCATATTATCAATAAGACTTGTTAAGTAGTGCCTGTACAAACTTCTAAATCATTCAAATAAAAATACTAAATTAATCTCTTATTACAATCCATTCAAGTAAATTACATTCTATTGACTTTTGATCATTTCTAATTTACAAATAAAACAATTATCCACAGAAAAAACAACTTTACTAATATGAAATAAGACAAATCATGAAAACTAGATAAACGAAAAGGTTTACTATATCAATCAAGGTATTTGAAAAGAAAAAAAAACATTTAGAAAACAGTAGTCATTTCTTTAATACATAAACTCATAATGTATTTCAACACATATCAATATGTAACTTCATTACCTAATCACATTATGCTCATAACTTTTAATTAGGTGTAAGATATTGTCTTTTATGATAATAGATTATAAGGAGATAAACATTTAAACCAAAACAGGAGGACCAAATTTAAATTAATGATAAATCAGATTATTTGTATCATTGTGGTCAACATGTTTGACGTTATTATGTGAAAGTTTTCTATGTTAACACTGTCATACTACGAGTTAACCAACTACTAATCTATTATTAAGATACGAACAATACTATAACACCTAATGGCGTTTTTAGAATGTCACCTGAATGAATAAATAACTTGCTGTCTAAGCTATATGATAGATATCTTCATGCGTGAACAAGAAAGCTCACTCTTAAGTCTATATAAAGTTGTAACAGTCGTGAACAGACTTAGAACATAAAGTGCATATTATGATCTAAAAAAATTATAAAAATGTTTGACATTCTCGAAAATAAGTGAAATTACAGTTAAACAACAAAGGTAGCATTACATAATTTTTATTGTGTCATTCATTAGTTCAACTCTTTCTGAAGCTTGATTACATCATTGTTGTTTTTTTTTCAATTCCTAACTGACTGGTTTCAATTCACATCTTTCTTTATTACCATTAATCTGTTTTCAGTTGCATCATTACACAATCATTTATTGTTTGTTAACTCCATGAATTTTAATCAATGGAAAGATACAAACAAACAACACCAAGTGAATTTAAGCTTCGCCCCGTTGAACAACCAGTTGACTATCAGGACTCAGTTGCTAGGTGGATAAGGCGATGGCGTTCGAAGCGAACGATACTGGGTTCGAATCCCAGAGTGAGCATCAATTCCAAGGTTCAGGTACATTCAAATGACGAGTCCCAGATAGGACAAGACGCGAATCCTGGACTCCGTTGTTAGCTACTAGTCATCTTTCCTTAAAAAAACTTTATTTGTTATAGAAATTAGAATTCTTAGAGTTTATTGTATATAAAGGAAGTGTACTATTTCATTCTATAGTATGTTTAAGCAGTGTTACATTACAAGGATCTTAATATTAGTTTAGGATTTAGTCTATATTTTAATATATAAATGTTTATATATTCTAAAATAATGCTTTTACTGGAACTAATAGTACACTATTATTCTTTTGTCAAATTCATAAATGGTGTTTTTCATAGAGCTGAACATATAAATAAATATAGTATTTTTTCCACATTAAATAATGGTTATTTCATATAGCTCTGAGCAATATTATAACCATGGTAATGATTAAAATAATAACAGATTGGCCTATATTTCTATTTGTAATTTATTAGAGAAATAAAGGGAAATGAGAAATGAAGGAATAAATAGCTATTAGAGATTTTGATTTATTCAAAGCTAACAAAAATCTGAACTTAACATGATAAATAGATAAATTCCTATTATGTTTAAATGAACACTTTTGCTTCCCTTAAAAAAAATGAAGATACATCGACTTTACGAGGTAAACCGTTTGCGCGCGAGACCATATATTCTTGGTCCAATCCCATGTGTGACATCGGGGATACACACTACTGAAAAGTCCTCATATTAGAACGAAACGGTCGTCCAGCGCTTTCAGGTTTTCCTTGATGGTCTAACTTAGATCAATTCATGAATTCAACGACCAAAATATAAATAAACATATTTCTATTTAGTTTTCTTTCTTTTTATCACAAGTGTCAGTTTATTAACTTTGAT